AGAGGAAGAGAACTTTTACAATGCCAGTTCTCCTTCTACATTTTTTAAAAGGCTGCTCAATAAAAGTTTGTGGCTTTTAAAAAAATATCTATTTCACTTTTTTTTTTTTCTAATTTTGTTATATTCTGTCTTTTTCCACCAGTAAGTCAATAACTGGTCTTCATATTAAGGTCTGGATACTTAGGATAAAACAGAGAGGCACTTCAGTTAGGCTCTGGGATTGAGGAATGAATCAATGTTATGTCCGGAAGTGGCTTGATTTAAGAAACTATTACTTGCAACTCATTCCTATGACTTTCCTTTGCCTTGTTAATTTCTTGCAGCTCATGAGTATCAAACTGCCAACCAGTCAGATCAATCGCTTGTAAAGAAACCAGCTGGCTTATTAGACGGGCCAGTGCCAAGACTAAAAGGGCAGAAGGTGTAAAGCCCTGTGGTTGGCTGAAGTCTAGAAATGTCATCTTCTTGAGATGTATTAATGCCTTCAAGATAGTAAGCCATCCTTCACTTGTCAGGGAATTCTCTGCCACGTCCAGATGCTGGAGATCTCTTAGGGATGCTCTTGCAAAAAGAGTGCCTAGGAAAATATGTTGGAATTATATTCAGCAATTTCTTGTTTCTCGGATTATACAGAAAATTCACTTGAATATAGACTTAATCATATGCATATACATAAATGTTCTAAAATGGCCTACACTGAATCTTAATATCAAGGAGAATACAAAGACAATGCTTTACATCTCAAAATCAAGCCATTTAGTATTGAAGGTTGAAGGGTCCTGTGTGAGCATTCCCAAGAACAAGAATCTAACCTCAGCAAGGATTCAGGAAGCAAGTTGTAAGAGAGAGGAGATTTATTTACTGGAAATATTTAGGGATAGGCAAAATTTAGCAACTAGCTAACTATATGTGGTTGTTATGATTAACTGTAAAATGGTTTTTACCTTGGTTGTCTTATATGTGTGTTATTGTTTTTTTGTATTTTTTTGTAATATGCTGTTAGCCCCCTAGAGTTGCTACAGCAAGACTGGTGACTATATAAATTAAAATAATAATAATAATAATAATAATAATAATAATAATAATAATAATAATAATTAATTCCTGCCATGGGGAGATCCAAAAGCATGTTTGTGCATATGTGCCTGGGGAAAAAACAGAAGGAAGTGACCTGAGATATCTGAGACAAAGAGCAGACGGTGACAGATAAAGAGGGATGCAAAGTAAATGCCTAACTCTCCATCTATGCCCAGCTACCCGTTGTGGTCAGAAGGCCATGTGGTGCTGAAAGTCAGTGCCATTAGATTTGGACCTCCAGCATACACAAACTTTTACAAAATATAAACTGTAAAGGCAACAGGTGGTTTTCTTGCAAGATGCTTCCATAGAAGTTTCATAGAATTATGGATCAAGCGGCATTCTAGATACTTCTGTTGTAGTTTAGACTGTGTCTCCCAGGGAGGACTATCACACTATTGTATTGCTAAATACTGAAACATAGTTCAGTTTTTTCCATGTACCAAGTATGAATATTAATCTTTCCCTGGTTGACTGTATTCTCATTCTATTTATTTATTTATTTAAAATGTTTTATTTAAATATAGTTTAATGTTATATCTATAGTTTTTGAAAATCATCTTGTACCTTAGCCCCTTTCTACCAAATACCATCTACCAATAGAAATAGATTTTTACACGATAATTTGCAATATATCTGTGATTAATTGGAGGAAAATACACCTGGGAAACAAATAATGCATGCAGGAAGAAGCATATTGTGGGTCCCATCTATGAAGGAATGTCACCTGACAGGACCCAGGAGGAGGCCCTTTTCTGCCACAGTGCCCACCCTTTGGAGCATCACCCCTCCTAAGGTGAGATTGGCCCTGACCCTGTTGGCCTTCCAGAAGAGCCTGAAGACATGGCTTTGTCATTTAGCCTGAGGATCTGGTGATGCTGGTGGACAGCCTGCAAAATGGTTGTACTTTTAGGAAAATGGTACTCTCCCACAGATCATGTTTTTTAATGGTTTTAATGTTTTTATTGTTTTTAAAGTTTTAATGATTTTTGCAGTTATTTTTTTGGTGTTTTTGATTTTTTTTTTTTTTTGGCTGTTTAATTTTGTAAGCTGCCCAGAGTCATGGCAGTGAGATGGGTGGCTATATATAAACAAACAAACAACATTTGCATAGCCTTTTGGATCAGAGCAGTTGCTTTGACCCAGTATACTATCACATTTGAGTCCTAAACATTTCCTTTCATGTCTCTCTTTTATTACTGCAATATATACTTACTCAGAATACTGGCCTCGGAGTTGGTAGTTCGCCATTTCTTTAGCCCAAGTTTGGTCAACTGTGGCATTCTCTCTAGCTCTTCTAACTTAGTAAGGCAAACACTGACTTCATCCACCCAAGGAAACATCAGAATTTTCATGTTTGGTAGGATATTTAAGCTTTCAACTAAAAAAAAGACAAACTCCCTTGAATTCATCTTTACTTCTGATTACTATTTTGTTTTCCCACTGTCTTTTTCCAGGATACTTTTCAATTGCTCAGTCCAGTCTGAAACCAATCTGGGTCATTAAACAAGTCTGACTCTGCTTAGCTTTATAGGGATCAGCAAAGTCAACTAGAAGTTGCCACCTGCTATGGCATCAAGTATGCAATAAGAATTAAAATGATATAAGCAATGCAGAGAGATAATATACTATATTTCAGAGAAAGCACCTGATCCACATATAAATCATTATTTTATTCCCATTTTTTGCTGCAGATAGTTCCCACACAGAATGTTGCTAACTAATTTCCACGTAAAAGAATTTGTTACCTGAAGCTCCTCCTACCATATGATTTCCCACTACACCATTTAGCTCACTGAATTTGCTCTAAGCTTGTCTGTCTGCAACTCTCAATCAGGCCTTCCCTATAATTTCTGAAATGTGTTCTGTTGAATTACGGCATAGAAAATGTCCTGCTAGCTGGCATTTTAAAAGGCCTTTCCAAAGGGCCTTTAAAATAGGATTTTAATTATTTTTTTAGGGTTTAATTATTCTATATTGTACAATCCTTATTAACTGTTTTAGGGTTGTATTGTTAGGTAGGACAAGCTCCCATACAGAAGCAGCCAGCAAACTTCATTCCTCCATGCACTGATGATCTTACCTAGCTGGTAATGGATGAAATGTCTGCAGAAAGAAAAGCAAGCTCAGAGAACACCAAGAGTCCAATAATTCAGCCTTGAACTACATAGATTTTCCACTCTTGCAGATTTTTCCTTTCAGTCCAGGGCCCAAATTAAGACTGAGATTTGTTAGAACATAGCTGTATTCATCTATTGACTAAGACACTAGAATTAAATCTGTGATTGCAACATTTCCCTGAGAGAAAATTATTTTTCTTACCTAGTCCACAAAGAGCTTTTCCTCCATTTCCCAAAAAATTATTGGATAAGTCAAGTGCATAAAGTTTAGGTAAATTGCAAATATTCTGAACTATAAAATAAGAAGCACACAATTAATTAACTTCCTGTTATAAGCACGGGAAAGAGTAAGAAATAAGATCTTTAATCTGTGCTTTTTTAAACAGACCTCTGTAATAAATTGTTAATAGCAGCAGCAGCAGCAATAAAAATAGTCAAATTATGTATGTTTAATTGTTTTAATTGTTTTCTGGATTTTGTTACCCATCTAATGGAGCGGGTGGCTATAACAAATTTAACAAATTAAATTAAATTAAATTAAATTAAATTAAATTAAATGCAAAGGGGGAAAGAAAGAGGTCTGCTTCTGGAAGCACTATAGGAAGAAAGGCTGAAGATGAAAACCGGGGTAGATATCTGAATGATGTAACAAGATATGTTATAGCATCACCCTATTGAGAAATTGTGCCTTGAGCTGGCAGTCCACAGACAGAGGGTTTAGCTAAAAGAGTAATGGACTTTTGGCTTTCTAGATGTTGCCAGAATTTCAACTCCCAGAAACCCTGACCAACAAGGCTAATGTTGAAAGGATCCTGGAAATTACAGTTAAGTTTAGTAACATCTGGAGGGCCCCAAAAGAAGGAATCATTTCAAAATAGTGACATTGGTTGAAAAGCCTGAGAACTGTAATTTCAACACACAGAGGGTACAAGTTGGAGAAGGCTGATTTATAGATTGGGAATAGTCAGAATTCAAGGGTAGAGCATGTTCTTTGTATGCAGAAAAGTAGCACACTCAGATGGCATTTCCACTTCAAAGGATCCAGTAGCAAATAATGAGAAAGACCTTGGTCTGATACCCATAACAGCTGCTGCCAGTGTCCTAGAGTGGGACAAACAGTCTGAATTGCATACAGTAATGATTATAAAGTTATTCTGTTTTGAAATACTGTCCTTGTTCTACAGTATGGAGTCTCTCAACCTACTATCCTTTCTGTGTGTTGAACTACATCACCCAAAATTCACAGCCAACAAGGCTGTTGACATCTAGAGAGTAACAGTTTGGGGAAAGAAATCTGTTCTAGAATTTTAAGTGATATTATTCAGAATGGGATTTGTTTTAGAAGTTGGGTATCCCCAAGAATACTATTATTACTGGGTAACATATAAATAGAATAAAGGGATTAAAATAACTACAAACACTGACTTTACCTAGAATTTCTACAGCAGTCGCAGAAATGCAGCAGTTAACTAAATAAATTTCTTCTAGCTCTTGAAGATATAAGGATATTGATTTTACTATATTTATCATTCCATCTTCAACATTTGTAAACTCTTTCAATTGCAGTAAATTCAGTTTTTTCAAATTCTTTAAGCTTTCAGCTATAAACAAATTGAAGAAAAACTAGTTAAAGTTTAATTTATTACATTACATACTTCCACACCCATAACACTACAGTATTCCCTTTTGGATAGGCAACATTTTGCAAAGTGCAGAAAAGCAAAAGAAATGAAAACCTGATGTAAGAAACTGACAAAAAAAGGCCATAGCGAAATCTAGTGTGCATCAACAAATTCATTTTATATACCTTTTTATCCCTGCAGACCATCCTTGCTTCCTACATCCATACAATGCTTCATATATTATCTTTTGTTCTTTAAATTTCTCATTTCTCTCTTTAACAGGTTCTGGTCTGTTCCATCTAACCATGATTTTCTTGGGCTTTCCTTTCCCATCAGCCCATTTGCTTTTCCTTGATATACTTGTTTTGTGATTCAGTCCTCACTGATTTCCTTCATACGACCCAACCACTTCAATGTACTGCTTTCATACTAGTCATTTTTGTATTCATTCTACATTCAGTATCCATTTATACTTGACCCTATATCTTCCTGTTTTACCACACACAGTTCTTAAGTAGTATTAACATTTTACTTAAGAACAAGGATCCTTGGTTAACCCTTTTCATTCACTTCCAATTTCTTATTTCCATCAATATTGCTCTGTATTTTCTCTGCTTCTTTTAATTTTAACCGTTCCTTGTTTTCTTTGACTACATTCTTTGCAATTAAGAGCATTATAGAATACCACTATTACAACAATCATTTTCTTATAAGTATCATTTCTGAC